GTCATTTCCGGTGCCACCAGGCCCCAGTGGGGTGCTGCGAATTCTCTTTCAATCCTCACAGTGACATTTGCTTTCTGCCATCCATTGGATGGCATGTCTTTACCTCTCAGCTGTGAGGACCATCCTTCCTCGGGTGACAAGCTCTCTCCTGTAGTTCCACAGCATTTGTCCTCACATGCTCTGGGCTCCCATCCTCTCTTCTTCTGGGCATCTGAGATGTGCATGCTCAGCACCACCAGCCCATTGAGAAAGATGGGAGAGTGGAAGCAGTCAGGTGAGGCAGATGAAGAGGCCAACATGGGACCAGACAGCCCTGAGTTTGGCTCCATCATCTACTAGTTGAGAGGTTGACAGCTCACCTCATCTCTCTTCATCTGCTTCCTCACCTGTAAATGAGTGATGGCAGTACCTGCCTCATAAGTTACTGTGAGGATAAAATGAGCTAATGTGCATACAGCAAGCACTCGATAAATGTTAGCTACTATCATCATTATAATGATGATACTATTGTTTCCGGCTGTCATTTTCACATCTAGGAACCTCTGTATCCCCATAAAGCCCTGTTTCCACACTCTCACATTAACATTCCTTTTCCTCTTGCAGTGAAAGTGATGTCAAGCAACTCTGGCTGCAGCTGAAGAAGGATGAACCTCACTTACTGTCCAACTTCGAGGATTTCCTGGCCAGAATCTTCTCCCAGCTCCAAGAGGCTCATGAGGAGAAGAACGAACTGGAGTGCGCCCTGAAAAAGTGGGTACCTTCAGTTGCTCTCTGTACATATGTATGAAAAACAACATGAAGTGCACTTTCCCTTATATTCTATGACACCTCCTTATCACCAGCTGGCCCCATAGCTGGCATTTCGTGTGTGTGTGTGTGTGTGTGTTTAAGCCCTCACTCACATTTTTTAGGCCCTCACCATGCACTAGGCACTATTCTAAATACTTTAGATACACTCGCTTATTTGGAGTACTTATTATTATTGATGTTTACAGATGAGGAAACTGAGGGACCGAAAGGTTAAGTGACATGCCCCAGAACACACAGCTCATAAGTGGCAGAACCAGGATTCAGAGGGAGACAGCCTGGCAACTGAGACCAGTTGGAAAACCTACCTCTAAACAAGAAGGCCCCAGCATACTGGACCTACCCCCCATCTTTAGACTGGTCCTCGGTCCACTGAATTTTCCCCTCTCCTGACCACTCTCTCCCATCATAACCTCACATCTTTCCTGCTGCCCTCTTTGCCCCTAGGACCTCTCCAGGTAACTAGTGATTTCTAGGATTCTTGCTTTGCCTAGAGGAGACAGACCAGGCCAGGTGAACACCAACAGCTGAAGAAGCAGCTCAGGAATCTAATGGGAGGCAGTCAGGCACCTGTGGGAAGGGGAACAGTGTGGTGATGCCCATCTGCCTGTGGAAATGAGTGCACCACTGGGGTGCTGAGCTTGTCCAGAGCCACTGAATGTACAATCCAGCAAACAGCTCGTGTGTTGTGAAACCTGGTGTAATTAATTCATAATCTTGAAAGTGCAGCCAAAATGCAAGGCTGGTTTTGGGTAGAGCTCAGAAGATGCTAAAGTGGTCCTCCCTCATGCCCCTGCCACACACTCTTGTCCCCACCAGAGATCCACTTATATTCCACAGGAATCCTTAACAGTGCCGACACAGATCATACACCCCTCTGGGTGAATGCTTCCTGGCATCCATTCCCCGGCACTGCCTCCTGGGGGCCGCATTCCAGAGTCTGTGCAGACATGGCCTTAGTGAAAGCACGTGAGCCCCTAATTTAAAAAGAGATCGCCATGTGGCTTTGTAGATCAACTGTCCACACATTACCCTGCTCGCCTTTGCATCTGTGCCTCCTCAACATTAACTTTAAAACTTGTTGAGGGCCACTGGGTATACACAGGTCTGGAAAACAGGACCTTTAAGACACTGAGTTATGAGCAAGTTGTGAACAAGTTGTGCTGGACGGAACATGATTTGGCTAGGGAATGTTACAGGTATTCTGGGAGAGGCCCCCCAAGGCTCAGAGGACAGAAGTATCGAGGGTACACTTCTATGTAGTCTTTACCTGATTAAGCTATGAACCAGACAGAGCCAAGTTTGAATATTGGCTCTGCCATTTACTAGCTGTGTGACTTAGGCCAAATTACTTAACCTCTTGAGTCTCAGCTTCCTTATCTGTAAGATTGAGATGATAATAGTGTCCATCTCATAGAGTTGTGATAATATATGTAAGCATTCACATATATTATTACAAGTGCTGATACATAAGTATTCAATGAATATTATACTAATTATTATTATTGTTTAAAATGTTTATCAGTCTTAGATGATTTGCTGTGTTGAAATGCAGAGTTTGAGCCTTGATATAATCATAAGTTTATGGATGAAGTTTACAGATCTCTTTACCCTTCCAGACAGCATGGTGTAGAGCCTTGCTACTCAAAGTGTGTTCCATGGACCAGCAGCACTGGTATCACCTGGAAACTTCTTAGGAATGCAGAATCTCAGACCTTGTCCAAGCCCTACTGAATCTGCATTTTTAACGAGGTGTCTAGTGCTTTATGTGTGGATTTGAGAAATGGGGGGCTGGGAATCAAGAGCTCTGGGTTCGAGATGTGTGTGGCTCTGCAACCAGCTAGCTCTGAGATCTTGCTCAAGTCTCTTGGCCTCTCTGAGCCTTGGTTTTCCCATCTGTAAATTGAGGGGGCTTGATTAGTTTCTGACTCTCGGCACCTCCCAACTTCCCTCTGACCCCAGATTGATCACCGTGAGGAGCCACAGCAAAAGTCAAGTGGCACCTCCCCAAGAGAGGAGGGTACCCCTGTTCTCTGTGGAGGTGAAGGTAATCACAGTCTGAATAGATAGGCAGTGACCTAGCCCATGGCCTGGAATCTTATCTGCAGGATGTTGCTGTGCTGGCCTATACTCCTGCAGAGAGAGACCATGCTCTTGACGTGCAGAGGAGCCTCTTAGCCCTTACATTCATCTTAGAGTGGCCCCTGTTTGTGTTTTTGCTCTAATTAAGTGATTGCTTACAAAGTTCTTGAGATGAAAGTCAAGGTCACTCTTGGCTGCATGTGTAAAACTAGCTCGTCCAAAGGTTCCAGCCCTCCATGCCCATTGTCTATTGATATCCCTGCCAGGTACACCTGCCCTGGGGAGCTGATGAAGGCCTACTTTTGGCTGGGAAGCTCTGGTGGGATTGGAGATTCACTGAGCTCTCTGGCCAGTCCCATTCCAGGGATGTTTTCTGTATGTAGAATGAGATCACTGCAGGCTATAGTGAGCAGAGAGCTGCAACAGGACAGGAGAACCTGAGCTCTTGCCCAGGCACTGCCATGGACCATCTCTGTGAGCTCAGGCAACTTGCTTTACCTCTCTGTGCATTAATTTCTTTATGTTAACGTGACAGAATGGGATTGGTGTTTTTCCAAGTTTTTGTGATTGTGAGTCACTGAAAGAAATGCACTTGACTTTGCAACTTTCATGCACTTATATGTTCGTTTAACTGAAACAAAAGCTTTGTGAAATGGTGCTCACCCTTAGTATATGTGACATGCTTTGATCTTTCTATTAGAGTCTCTTTCATTCTCTTGTCTTCAAGACAAAAAAAAAAAGTCTGGTCACATCCCACTTCTGGTCTATGACTAGTCCAGATGATCTATAAGGGCCCTTAAATTCAGCAGTCAAACAGGAGACCGGAATCCCTGTCAGCGCTGAGCTGATCAAGAAGGGAAGGTTTTGGTGGTGAGACGTCCAGTTGAAAGAATGCACGAGGAGCTGACATGAGAATGAAACAGCAGGTACCAACTTTATATTGCTGGGGGCATGTATTTCTGTGCTAGGGGACTGCATGGGCTTTATATATGTCAGAGAACAATAGTGTCACACATGCGTAATAAACAATAAGTTGAATAATACTTGCATAAGTTAGGTGCAGGCACCCTCCTACATTAATGTAACATTTTAAATCTGGAGTCCTATCCCTAGCCACAAGCTTGGATCACAGCCAGACCTGGGACCCATACTCTACCCCTACAGGGTTGCAGCACGGGATCTGGCCTGGAGGGAGCTACTTGGGCCCACAATCCACAACAACAATATAAAGAACAACAAAATACTAGTAGGCTACAGGATGCAAGGGCTAAGACAGCTACTGTCCACCACCAGGAGGACCCCAAGGAATTCCACCAAGTTCTCAAGGGGTCTTCTCCCAGGGTATGGATGGCTTGGACTCCAGCATCCATTTCCTGGAGAGCTGCCTGTGCCTGCTCGGCATGATCAGGAATGTAGACACAGCATTCTACATAGAGTAGGGCACAGATGACACCCTGGACAGCAGTTAGGAGGTCAAGGGCCATGCAGTTTTGTAGAACTACTTTCCACATTTGCGTGGTTTCATCCATTAAAAGGGTTATAGCCTGATGCGTAGCATTCAATGCCTATGCAGTGTGCTGGGCTAAAGCTTCTACCTGCAATTCTCCATCTATGGATCCCACCCCTGGAATGAATAACGCCAGGGGGGAGAACCACCATGCCGCCTGTTTCTGCCAGTGCCAGTGGGGATATACAGGATCCCAATTATGAGGCAATTGGAGTAGGTGGGTAATATACATCCAGCTAAATAGGGACGTCCCCAGGTACAATGGCTGGTCCAATCAGTGGGCAAGTAGGGCCAGCCGTAGTGTCCGCAGTCCCAGAGATACCCTGCAGGTAGCCAGTCAGTAGGTTCTGTGCCAACATAACATTGCCCATTCCACCAGACCTTGGAAATATTAGCAAGGGTGGTGTTAGCACACAGCTCAGGTGGTAGCCACCCCATGACACGGTTGGGCACAGACCTTACTCGCTCTATGCAGTGAGGGGCCTGCTCCCACAATTCCACATGTTCTCCCGTCAGCCATCCCGCCAGCCATCCATTGGAAATAGCATAGTCTATGAAGGGTAGAGAGTTGCGATGATCACAGCGGAGCAGCATTTCCATGGGCTCGCCGTTACTGGTCCCATTCAGGTGTGATGTTCCAGGTGCACAGCCACGTCCAATTCTCAGCCGTAGCCGAAGTAATGTGCCACGGCAGTGCCTCGGCCACTTCCACTGGTAGTTCAGTACACACCCAGCAGTGGGAAGCATTATGGACAGCAGCAAACACATGAGCCCAGTACGTGACACTGTTTCCTTTTGTCAGCCTGGGCAATAGGATAGAGCAGACAAAGGGACCATTAGGGGCAAGTCCCATCCTTCCGGGAGGACGCAGGCCACCTGCCCATCTGGAGATAGAAGGGTGGCTGGGAGAGGAGCTGCCCCTGGCCTGTGGTACCAGTTTCTCCGAAGGTAGCAGGCCAGGGGGTCTCCACCGGCATCACAGTATAGAGAGGAACAGGCCAGAGGCTAAGGACAAAACTCTCTGTTAACAGTGAACCCTCTGCCTTCATTGGGAGTGACACTTGCAAGGGCGTGGGCCAAATGCAAATCCAGGCTTTACCCGCAGCTCATTGCATAAGCTCTGTCCCCAGGGCTCCACCAGGGCCAACCACGGCTCTTTTGTTACCTGTATAGTGCAGGGTCATGACCAAATGACCTGTTTACCTGTTGCCAAAGGTTCTGGGACTGGCAAGAGTAAAGCTCCCTGGTAGGCCTGGGGCAAGAGCTGTTTAGCAGCGGTGCCTGGGCACACTTTGATAGCCCATAGCAAGCCCACTACAGCCCTGTCAAGGGGAGACAACCCCATTCGCCAGGG